TAAGATAACTATGAAGCTTTCTCAAAACCATACAGAGATCTACTTTTGGAGATTAAGTAGCATGTGTTTTGTTTTTTTTCAATGAAGTAAGAGGGACTTTAACAGATAGCCAGGATTGAGAAGCACTGCATTTATACTGAATGACAATGAGACACTATTTTGTTAGAATACTGTACTGTTTCTATGAACCAAACTTCAGCCTTAATAAGCACAACAAATAAAAAAAGATACCTCACTGGAACAATTTTATTGCCTGCCAAAAGTTGTTGTCTGAGCCCGCAAATATGAAAAAATTTAGTAATATATCAGTTTTAAAAAACAGGTCAAACAAAATGGCTGATGAACAGAGACAAAATGACCAAATTTAAACTGATCAAAGAACTTAGTTCATTTCAGTATTTTCAGAAAAACGATAAGACAGTAACAGTATAGAAAAATGAATAAAAGAATTATGATAAAAAACAACTGTTTTCTATAAGTCATAAGATAGATTTCAGAGAACTGTTAAACAAGAAACTGTCTACCATATGGTCCAGCTATTTTACTCGAAGGTATATAGCCAAGAGAATGAAAAACACAGGTCCACACAAAAATTTGTACACATGTGCTCATAGCAGCATTACAATAGCCAAAAAGTGGGGGAAAAACAAATGTCCATCAATAACTTAAGGAATAAACAAAATGTGGTATATTCAAACAATGGAATATCATTCCACTGTAAAGAAAGAATGAAGAACTGATATATGATCCAATATTGATGGACCTTGAAAATATTATGCCAAGTGAAAGAAGCCAAACAAAAAGGCCACATATTACACGATTTCATTTATTTTTATTTATTTAAACATTGTTCTTTTTAAAATATATATATATTTGTTAAACAATACAGCAAGACTGTCTGACCAACCTATACACCTTTGGTAATATATTTAATGAAAACTTCTAATGATCAAATAAAATTACATTTTGAACACAGAATGATAACATTCATTAAATAGGATGATAGATCTTTAAAAAAATCAAATCATTAACCCATTAGGAGGAGTGTACAGATCAAGAGGATTAGATTCTTGCCTAAATGATTAGATCTAAGTGATTTTCATAGAAATTACCATTAGAAATATTTTAAGCTAGTTATACAATGTTTGGAGAAAAAAATCAGTGTGCACGAAATTCTATGAAAATAGCAACAGTACTAAGAAATATGAAAGCTAAAGAGCTTTCATGTAAATTTACTTGCAAATTATTATTCTAACATGTCCTCTTCCAAAACAGATATGGGAAGTACACTGCAAAAGGTACTCCTTTCTTTAAAAGAAAGTACTGCCTATGTTTATCTAATACAGTTTCTCTAAGCTGATGGCATGTGCCCAACAGTCAACTAAAGGGATAAAAATGAATATTCTATACTTCATAATAAATGATATCTACAAAATATAATAGAAGGGATAATATAGGTATTCAAGTAAAATCCCCCAATACAAATTTTGATCTATTTTCTAAAGTTATTAAAAAATCTAAATTACAGCCCAGCCAGCGTGGCTCAGTGGTTGAGCATCAACCTACAAACCAAGAGGTCCCATTTCGAGTCCTGGTTCGATTCCTGGTCAGGCACATGCCCAGGTTGCGGGCTTAGTCCCCAGTGTGAGGCATGTAGGAGGTAGCCAATCAATGATTCTTATCATTGATGTTTCTCTCTCTCTCCCCCGCTCCCTCTCCCTTCCTCTCTGAAATCAATAAAAATATATTTTTAAAAAATCTAAATTACAAAACATAAATCTCCTAGGTAGAGGAAACAGGTCTCTAACCTAATTTCATACTGTAACCATAGTTCTAACCATGCAGAGGCTATGGCTACAATAAAATGAATTGTTCAAACTTGATTTTTCAGCACTGCAATTTAAGTGATCATGGTGGCAATATAACGTAGTGGCTAAAAGCACAAGCTTAGAATCCTGGTCTTACTATTTACTAGCTGAGGAAGTAATTTAATCCCTTTAAGTCTCAGTTTTATCACCTGTAAAATGGAATCCATATATACTGTGATGGTGAGGTTTAAATAATATAATGCCTATAAAGTGGTTAAGAAAATTCCTCGCACACAGAGTTCAAAACATGATAACTTTTATTATTAGCTATATATGCCTTCCCCTGTATGCTGCTTCTTAGGGCTTTCATTTTTCACTTCAGACATAACCTCCCAGGAGGATACTTTTTTGACAATGTGGACATATATTATCATTAATGGTGATAATTAACAAATGATAATAATAATTGCAGATAGCCCTAACCGGTTTGGCTCAGTCGATAGAGCGCCGGCCTGCGGACTCAAGGGTTCCGGGTTCGATTCCGGTCAAGGCATATACCTTGGTTGCGGGCACATCCCCAGTAGGGAGTGTGCAGGAGGCAGCTGATCAATGTTTCTCTCTCATTGATGTTTCTAACTCTCTATCCGTTTCCTTTCCTCTCTGTAAAAAATCAATAAAATATATTGAAAAATATATATGTTATAATAATTGCAGATAAAAAACTTTAGAAAATCATGTTTTCTATTTCTTTCATATTTTCTACCACCTTTAGCTGGATGTACCGTAGCTATACTTTAACAAATGAATGAATAGAAAAATGAAGAAATAAATGAACAAAGTAATGAGAGAAGGAACAAACAATTAAATAAAGTTGGCAACCATCTCCCAGTCCCTGCTAAAGCATATGGTCTGAATTATCTAGCATTTCCTGGGTCTGGCCTTCAGAGAGTAGCTATGGTCAGACTCAAAGTATTGGAACTCCATCCCAATAATATTCAAGTTGGGACGTCTTGTGAATTACAGTAAATTCAAAATTGAAGTACCCCTATTAGAAAAGCTTTAGAACTCAATAAACCATCTACAGATTATTTACTCTGTCCCTATTTGAATGTGGTAGAATGAACATGGAACCTATGATCTTTAAGAGTAGCCGAGTTATAACTGAACATTACACAGAAATCACCCAAGGAAATACTAATATTAAAACAAATTTTTCATAATAATGAAAAAGAGAAATCCATTTGAGCTGTCTTAAGATCAAAAAGATATTTCAGTACTTTCTTTTTAAAATTAGGATGTTTGCTAAGCTAAAGTGTGGGTACAATAATTTCTGAGAAAATTAAAAGGAAATGCAAGATTTATAAAGGATACATAATTTGACAAAACTAAGCTACAATTAAATAACAAAGGCTCTGTAACTGTCCTAAAGGGAAGCAAGGTCAAAATATTCATAACATCCCAATAGGAAATTTAACTGAATGGAATGGGTCTCATCCATTCTTTTGAATTCAGTTATAAATTACAAAGAAAAAATGCCAAAGAAAATTACACTTGATGAAAATCTTCTTGTGTATAAAGGAAAAAATTTACTATTTATTACTTGTAATAATACTGATTAAGGGGAAATCAGAATATATGATGAGGTGCATTCAACAGCATGATTGAATTTAGACACACACACGTCATTTACTTTCTATGCCAAGTTTAGCAAAGTAAGAATTTCATTTTTCATTTCTCAATGCTGTACTATAATACTCTTATTTGTAATCAGAACTCTAACCGCTGCATATTTATAAAGTTCTGCTTACCTTACTGTTTCTTTTCTTTTGGTATAGTTGACATAAATTATTATATTATTCTCAAGTATATAACATAGTGATTTGATATTTTCATACCTTATGACATGACCACCACAGTAAGTCACTGAACAAAATTATATTATTAGATATATTCCCTGTGTTATATATTACATACCTGTGACTTATCAATATATATAAAAGCCTAAGCGACCGTCTGACCATTCACTCGGTAGGTATGACATGCAATGACCATCAGGGGGCAGACACTTCAATCAGTAGAGGAGGGAGCCCGATTCCTCACAGAATCCGCAGTGTGTTAGGTTGCTGCTGGGGCACTGTCAGCCCCAAATCTGCTTCACCCACACCCTGGACCCATCGGGGGATGTTGGAGGCCCGGGGCCCATGTACCGGTGGGGTCCCCAGGCCTGGCCTGTGCCCTCTTGCAATTTGGGATCCCTCAGGGGATGTCAGAGAGCTGGTTTTGGCCTGATCCCAGAGGCCAGGCCGAGGGACCCCACAGGTACACATATCTGTGCACTGGGCCTCTAGTTTATTTTATAATTGGAAGTTTGTACCTCTTATTCCTTTACATTTTCACCCATACTCTCCTTCCCCCTCTGTCAACCAACCATTTATTCTCTGTGTCTAGGCTTCTGTTTCTGTTTTGTTTGTTCATTTGTTTCTGTTTTTGTTAGATTCTACATATAAATAAAATCATACAGTATTTGTTTATCTGTCTGACTTATTTCACTCAGCATAATGCCCTCTGGGCCCATTCATGTTGTTACAAATGTTAAGATTTCTTTTTTGTTATAACTGAGTAATATTCAATTGTGTGTATAAATACATCTTTTTTATTTATCATTTATCTGCTGATGGATACCCAGGTTGATTCCATTTCCTGGCTTTTGTAAATAATACTGCAATGAACATAGGTAGGTGCATGTATCTTTTACCTACCTTTTCTTATGTTCAAAATACAGGGTCATAGCAATTTATCACACAGTGAAAATGCTGGGAAAATCCTTTGGCTTTTCAATTTACTTCTGGTAAACTACTTACAGTACGTCTTAAATCAGTATAGGACGATATTGGAAAACTACAAAATGCTACACATCCTTTGAATTTTATTCAAAATTATCCATCTTTAGTCTAGAAAATTTGACCATAGCTTTTAATGCTTCAAATTTTGAGTGATCAAAAGCTTGAGTATGTGAAACATCTGAAATTTAGACTGCCTGAAAGATTATAGAAATGAAAAAACACCTCCATATATTTAATACCTCCTCCTTTCTTCCGCACCTCCCCGTCCCCATCACCCCCCCATCCCGCATCCACCCATCCTGCTGCCTGGCCTGTGTGCGCTGGCAATATCTCCTACTTTCTTACTTACTACATAAAATCGGAGAAGAGGGTGTCTGCAGTGTCAAAGTGGAGCCATCTTTCCTTGTGATATTAACTCGAAAAACCAATCTGGCACGAGTGCTTTTCTTCTTGGAACCAGCAATTCCTATTCTGGCTTCAACATCAGCATTTCTCAATTTCAATATCCCTACACAGTCCACCCTAAAAACAGAAAAAAGTACATTAACTGATATTTTCTGTTGTACATATGATACAGTATTTTTAATAAAACAAGTTTCTTTCTTTTAAAGTTGCTTCATTATTAATTTCTGAATATGTAATATAATTATAAGATTCCAATTTCAAAACGTATAGAAGGGTAAATCATGAATATTCCTAATTCCTAATATTGTATTCTTTTTATTTGTAATGGGAAAAACAACAAAAAAGTAAAATTACTATTTTAAAATCTGAACATAAGTAATAATTTACAAAAGGTACTTTTTTTTAAATATATTTTTTATTGATTAAGATATTACATATGTGTCCTTGTCCCCACGTTACCCTCTACCCCCCCCCGGTCATGTCCTCCCCTCCCCCCCATTGTCCGTGTCCATTGGTTAGGCCTATATGCCTGCTCACTGTCAGCTTCTTGAAGAAACCCAACAAAAGCAACAATAACCTTTGCTTTTCTCATAGCTCATCTTGATACAATAAATGTCTGTGCTGCC